CGCCGCCGCCCGCTCCGTGGCCACGTAAGGGCCCGGCCGCGCGCGGGGCTGGGCGGGGGCGGGTGCGGCGGGAGCGGTCCCGGGAAGGGTCCCGGGGGGGTAACCCGCGAGCCGGGGCGTGGCCGCCACGAGGGAGCTGGCCACGCCTCCCTCAAGCCATGCCCCTTGCACCGGTGTTCCCCACGCGGGTGGTGAGCTGTTGGTCACGCCCCTGGCCACGCCCCCTTCCCCTCCTGCCCTTGGCCCAGCCCTGGCCACGCTCTCACGGAATGCCAGGCTGGGCCGGGCTGGACGGGAGCCCAGAGGTCCCTGGTGCCACCTCCCTGCTCAGGCAGGGCCATCCCAGAGCACAGGGCACAGCATTGTGCCCAGAGGGCTCTGCAGTATCCCCGCTGAGGGAGACTCCAGCCCCTCCCTGGGCAGCCTGTTCAGGGCTGGGCAGTGCCCAGGGCAGAAGTTCTGCCTCCTGTGCAGGGGCAGTTCCTGGGCTCCGTCCCTGCCCGTGGCTCTGGTGCCACTGCTGGGCCTGGAGCAGAGCCCGGGCCCTGCTCTGCCCCTCCCTGCACACAGGGACACCCAGGGCTGAGGGCCCCTCTCAGCTGGGGCTCCTCTCCAGGCTCAGCAGCCCCAGCTCCCTCAGCCTTTCCTGGGCACCAAGATGCTCCAGGCCTTTCTCATCCTCATCCTCCCAGCCTGAGCTGGCACTGCTCCAGGAGCTCCGTGTCTTCCTTTTCCTGAGGAGCCGAGGACTGGACACAACACTCCAAATGTGCCTCACCAGGGCTGGGCAGAGGGGCAAGGCTCATTTCCCTCCTGCACCTCTGGCCATACCCCATTCCTGTCTCCCTGCAGTGCAGTGCCCCTGGCCCATGTGGAGGTGGAGGGTCGCAGGGATCAGCCACCCCTTGTCCTGCTCCACGGGCTCTTTGGCAGCCACAGCAACTTCCAGACAGTGGCCAAGACACTTGTGCGCCGTGGTAGCGGCAAGGTGAGACCCAGGACGTGGGGGGAGGCACGGCACACAGGGAGGGGTCCAGGGTCACGTTGGGCAGTGCCTGGGGTGACACACTGCTCCTGCCCAGGCAGGTGCTGACAGTGGATGCCCGGAACCACGGCAGCAGCCCCCACAGCCCTGTGATGACGTATGAAGCGATGAGCCTGGACGTGCAGCACCTCCTGAGCCGCCTGGGCATCACCAAATGCATCCTCGTGGGACACAGCATGGGGGGCAAGACAGCCATGACACTGGCCTTGCAGCGGGTCAGCAGGCATGGGGGTGGGAGTGGGGTCACAGGCTCAGGAAGTTCCGGAGGGCGCTGTAGGAAGAGGATAGCACCTTCTGAGACTGTTCACTGGGGCCAGCTTTGCCCCCAGCTCCACAGGGACTTGTCTGTATCAGGGTGGGTGGTGTAAGCCAGGCTATGGGAGCAGGAGCAAATCTATGTCCACCAGCCCATGCTCTGCCCTGTCCCTCCAGCAGTGATTGTGAGGGAGCTTGGAGATCTGTGCCGAGGATGACTCTGGGAAGGGCACATGGAGGTCTCTACTGAGACAGGAGGGAGCAAAGAGCCTCCAGGGAATCTGACTGGGAGTGGAGCCCTGTGCCTACTCCCACTGGAGAGATCTTGGGAGATCCTGGCGTCTGATCTACCCTGCTTGTTTCTCCAGCCAGACCTGGTGGAACGCCTCATCTCTGTAGACATTGGTCCTGGCTCAACCGCCCCTGTGTCCGAATTCTCTGCCTACATCTCGGCCATGAAGGAGGTGAAGGTCCCAGCGGGGCTGTCCCGCTCTGCAGCACGCCAGCTGGCAGATGACCAGCTGCAGCCCGTGGTCAAGGTAGGAAATCCCGTGGGAGATGGGGAGGATGGAGGGTGCCAAGACATCCTGTTTTGTTGCTCTTACTGAAGACAACATGGTCCCCTTCCGTGGCAGCTCCCACAGCTGAGACAGTTCCTCCTCACCAACCTGGTGGAGGTGGAGGGCTGCTACGTGTGGCGGGTGAACCTGGAGGCTATTTCCCGGCACCTGGCAGATATCATGAACTTCCCTGTCTTCCAAAAGCCATATCCTGGTCCTGCACTCTTCTTGGGAGGGTCTGACTCGCCCTATATCAGGTGAGACCGGAGAGAAGCGGTTCCAGGTCTGTGGTTTGACCTTTTGTGCTCTTTGCAGCTGCCAAGAGTGGGAGGAGCTCTTGGGATGGGGAAGGTCCTGAGCAAGGGCGGTTTCTCCAGCAGCCAGTGACACCGACATACTAGAGTGAGGGGGAACCTAGGAGCCCCCTGGGCTTTCCCAACAGGAAAGGAGTCATATCCGGGATCATCCTCTGCTTGGGGAGGGTGAGGGAAGACACCAGGAGGGACCTCTTATCATAGTATGTTCCCTTGTCCTGCAGCTCCAGAGACTACCCAGAGATCCAACGTCTCTTCCCCAATGCAGAGATCCAGTACATTAAAGGTGCAGGCCACATAGTCCATCAGGATAAATTTGAAGAATTCATCACTGCTGTCCTCAATTTCCTGCCACAGCTGTAGCACTGGGGACCAGGGTTTCTGCAGGGACCATGTGGGTCCTGAGGAGCTCTGGACAGTGATGCAGGGCTTGGGCTCTGAGGATGGGCTGAGCTGGGACTGGCTGCCCTCACTGCAGTCTGATCCTGCCTGCAAGACCTTCTCCTATCCTGATTCTTCTGCAGCCAGAGCAGAGAGGCACCTGCATGCTGCTGAGATCTCCTGCCACCTCTCAGGGATGTGGCTCAGGACACTGTCCTGCCTGCACAGGGGTGTCAGGCACACGGAGAGGGCAGGAGAGCTCTCTTGTTTTCCTGCTGCCAGATCCTTCCATGGATCTGGCTGTGACTTTGCAGAATGTGCAATAAAGCTGAATCCATGCCAAGGCAGAACAGGGGTTGGATGTGGCCATGGTGGGAAGGGCATGTGTGGGGGGCATAGGAGGGGCTTCTCAGTTGGCAGCAGGGATGCTGGTGGGAGGTGACAGCTGGACTGGGCCCTAATGTGACAAGCTGTGGGAGCAGTGCACATAAGACACAGATTTGAGGGTCTTTCTTGGCTTCCAGGGGAAATTGCAACATTGCTCTTGGAATCTGCCTCCTGGGCAAGGAGCATGTTTGCCCAGGCTGTCCCAAAGGCAGGTGTCACTTCATCCCTGAGCTCCTGACAATTTCTTCCCTCCCACCTACTCTGCATCCTCCTGCAGCATAACACCCACCCACCATGGGCTGGAGGCAGAGGAGCAGGGTGTCTGCTGCAAAAATCCCTTTATTGGACAACTGGTAAAGCTGGGAACAGGGCAGAAGTGACTATGGGGGTGACGAATCATCTCTGTCACAACTGGGGGACACACTGTGCATGCAGACAGTAGAGAGAGACATTAATCATCTCTGCTTTTGCTGCTCCAGAGCCAGGTGTCTGCTGCTCCCTGGGATGAGTCTGCTTAATTTGGGGTTGTTCAGAGGCCCCAAAAGGGAGGGAGGGCAGAAGACTGAGGATGTTTTATGCCAGGTCTGGCTATAGTTGCCTAGCAGAGCAGGCACCAGAGACTGCTTTGGAGATTTGCTATGTTTCTGCAGAGCTGTTCTTGTCTCTCCTCTCCTCTCCTCTCCTCTCCTCTCCTCTCCGGAGCTGGGCTGCATTGGCCTTGAGTTTTCTGCTATATCACCCTCAAATTCAAACACTTTTGCTCTCTGTGTATTACTTTTTCCCGTGAAGAATGTCAGACCAATAAGCTCCAGAGTCACAACTACTGAAATTAGTTCCTTGGGTGCCACAAGCCAGCTGGGGGTGGGGTCTGGCCCCAGCTATCAGCACACAAGACCTTTGGACTAAGCCATAAGCTCTGGAGCCCAGGATCAGTGGGGGATTTCTCCCCACTCCTTCCTGCTGGCCAGGTACCAGGTTTGG